CAGTGACTGCTTCAGAAGTGAAGACTTCCACTCATGTTCATGGTGGTATCTTTATAGCTGCCATCTGGGTATAAACTAGAAGTGTCTGTCAGCGTGTCTTGACTTAACGGGCTTTCACAGACCTGCCAACTGCACTTGTCCTCCTAATCCTTTTAGAGCAAGCCCTCTTTGCTCTTGTTGACAAAAGTAATACAAGTAATAGCAAACCTGATCAAGCAGGGGTACCAGTGGCTATGGGCAGGTTTTTTATTGTCATGTATGCTTTGCTATGTGCTAGTGTACATAGCACAGATTGATGCTCTTTCGTGACCCACAGAACAGTATCAAGAAAACAGATTCAAACCCTGTCCTTACTGTTTAATCCTAAACTCCTTGGTAGCTTTCCTTCACACTGTAAGCAGGTTAATGGCAGGTAGTATAGAAAGCAGGAGAGGCTGCTTTAACAGAGATACATCAAGAACTTTATTAAAGTCACCATCCTAAGAGAAGAGACAGCAATTTTTTCTGCTTTAAAAGGAAAAAAAGAGGTATATATCCATCTTGCAACCGCCTGAAGCATCCCCAGCATTTCTTTTGCTCACAGGATGACCCCTAAGCAGAGGAATCTAGATTTGCTCTTGACACCACTTCACCCCTTTATTCAACAGCAGCATATTGTGTAAAGCAGATCTGAATAGTAAGAAATTACTCAGAACAAGAGAAATGTATTAAGATTATCATAGCTCAATTCCGGGTAGAACAGTTTTGCCAGAGTGGCAAAGTGTAAGTTTAATAACTGGCCTTTGTCCAAATAAATGTTAAATTGTGTCTGTGGTTTATTTTTTTAATATGTAGATTTTTTTTTCCCAAAATGAAGAACTTCAGTAATTATAACCTCACAGAGTAAAGAAGAGGGGAAAAAAACCCAATAGAAATAATTCCTAAACTCTACTTTTGCAAATATGTTCAAATGCTGGATTTGTATACACAGGATAAATATGTAAACAGAAATCTGAACAAAAATATCTTAATTAATTTCAGTGTAACATCTTTATACTCTTGTCACTTTGAGCATATTTGGGGATATTTTTAATTTTCATATTGTAGCTCACTGAGTAGAATTTGTTTTGTGAATTATTCTGTTTTGCATTCTTTTTCATGCTGAACCTTTTCTCTAAGTTGTCGTCTCTGGGACAAGTACAGCATTTTTTTTCACATTAAAAAATTATTAACTAGATGTATATGCATAATTGTTCTTGACTAACGCTAAATAGTTAGTCTGATAAAAGTGATAAATAGCACCTGAGAAATAGCTAAATAGCACCCGAGAAAACTGATGGGAGGATGAAGTGTCTGCATAATTAACCAGTTGAGTTGTCTGGAGGTGATTATCAAGAAGTTGCTCAATTTATCTCAGTTCAGGGTTCCCTAAGATAGGTGCTTATGTAGTACGTCTTGCAGTGTTATGGCAAAATTGGTGAAATTAATCTGAAATCTTTCACAGACCAGCATTTCATCTTGTGTCAAGAATCTCTAACAATAGATCTTCTTCGTTATCCCCAAGGGATTGGAGGGGAAAGTAGGCACATAATTGACCATTTTTCTGGACAGGATCATCAAGAAGTTGCATAATTTATTTCATTACAGGGTCCTCTGAGCTGAGTGCTTATGTAGTACAACTTGCAGTGTTATGGCAAGATTGGTGAAATTAATCTTAAATCCTTCATAGGGCAGTGTTTAGTCGAATGTCAAGGATCTTAAACAATAGATGCTCTTTACTATCCTGTGGCAGCATTTTCCAGTGGTGCAAATGCACTTGGAGGTGTTTGAGATACTCAGATATTAAGAATGGCTGGCATTGGGCTCAGTTTTTCACTTTTTTGGTGAAACTTGCAAAAAGATGTTAATGTTTCAGTCTTGAGTTACTTCCAATTATCACTGCCGAAGGTGTGGATGGCTCTTGCAGCACTGCTGTCTGGGCAAGGTCCTATAATCTTGAGTTTCTCATTTTCAGTCTTGCATACTTTAGCAAAAGTCTACGTTGCACTGAAACAT